CCCCCCCTCCTTTCCCCACGCCCCTTTCCGATCCCGGTGGCCTGCTGCCGCCCGTCTGCTCCCGCGCGCCCCTATCCGCGACGACGCGACGCACGCTCAATACGATATATATCGCGATATATCGCGCGCGGCCCCGCCCCACCCCGCCGCACGGCAGCCAGGAGGGAAGTTCCCTCTCGTCACTCTCTGTAGACTCGCGTCCCGTCTTGACTCCAGTCTATCGACCTCGTCCGCCGATTCTCCGAGCGCCCCGGCACTCTGCTGCCAGTCACAATTGGGCCATGCACAAGTTTTTGTGATGTTTTTTTTGTCAGCTATTATTGAGTTATTTTTTTCCACGACTCTCTTGCTTTGAGTCTATCAGTACACATTACTCATAGTTCATTGTTTGCTGGATTCCAACCACGGCAAAATTCTGGTAAATGTAGAAACTTGCACACCGAATGACGTGACGTTTCGAGTATTCGCACCCCGAAAACGAGGTTCTTAAAACAAGTAAATGTCCTCGGAACGAGTCAATTTCCTATGACCTGTGCTAGAAAATTGCACGGCCCCATGACTACACCGAAAACGGCGTAATAACGCATGTTATCCACTAAGATGATAACGCGGTGCACATTTCAGTTTTTGTGGAATATTTTCTAAACGAGCTCTGAGATTTAGTTTTTGAAAGCACCATCGGATTTCCCGCGGAATTTCCGATCAAACAAGCCTACATGTGATAGGGTTCGGAGTTCAAATAATAAAACGGATTAAGACGTGTTCTTCGAGAACCTTTGTTCAGAACCCTATCACATGTAGGCTTGTTTGATCGGAAATTTCGCGGTAAATCCGATGGTGCTTTCGAAAATTAAATCTCAGAGCTCGTTCAGAAAATATTCCACAAAAACTGAAATGTGCACCGCGTTATCATCTATTGGATAACATGCGTTATTACGCCGTTTTCAGTGTACCGTCCCTGCACACGACGACACTTGCAGCGGAGTCCATATAACAATATTCCGTGCCGTGATGGTGTTGTTCGAGCAACACGATCGCCATACGTCAACAATTTCTGTTTACCAAGTGTTTGCCAGTTCCGTTTGTTGCAGCATGTTTTGTACACGTACACACGGCTATCGCTGCGTTTGTGTGACTTCTTTTCCCGCGCGCGGACTACTACTGGCTGCTTAATTATTTCTACAGCGTGTGCGAGAGGGTGGGGCTGCCCCTTCTCTTTTCCCCTCCGCCTTATCCGGCTCGCTGGCAGCCGCAGCGGCAGCCCCGGTCTTACTCTCTGCTGCAGCGGGGAGCAGAGAGCTCGAATGGTTGAGCCGGGCCAGTAAGGGAGTTAATAATTGAAGCGAGACCAGACCTTTATTATTCGTGGGTGCGAAGCCGCAATCCCCGCGGAGGTAGGCCACCCGCGTAGCGTGCATAAGCGCCACCCCCCTCACCTCCTCCCCCTGCTCCCGCACCTTGTACCGCATGGAAAAAAAGATTGGCTATGGAGCCAAAGAAATAGCTAGATATAGCTAAGCTTTTAATAGACCATTTAAATTTAGCTAAATTTCTATAGGTACCGTATCAAATTTAGCTAAATCTTAAGCTACTAAAGCTACAAATATTGCTAAATTTTATCTACTACCAGGTGTCCGGGAGAATACGCGGCAACTCGGCAACTCGATTGCAACCATGGTTGCCTACGCACTGGCGTGTAGGCGCTGAGGGGGAGACAAGCTATGGAGCTGCCGCGTATTCTCCCGGAGACTCGGTACCAGGCATAGCTGAAAAAAAAAAACAACAAATTAGCTAGCAGAAATAATTATTCCGTGTATTGAACTATTGGTTTGGCTACAAAGCTATTATTTTTGTCGTTATGCCTCCTCTGTTGTACCACCTCCTCGCACAACCACCACCGCGTTCTCGTCGACCCCCTCGCCAGCCGCCACGACTCTTCTTTCCCGAACTCTCCCCACCTTCAAAAGAAAAACACTACCCAGAAAGAAAGACGAGAACAAACACGAGGGGTGATCGATTTCCACACGAGATGAGCCCCAACTATGTCTGCCGACCGCCTCCACGCGAGCTGGTCTCCTCGCTGCCTCCTGCTGCTCCATACACTACACACCACCAAAAACGGTGTTCTTAATTTTAAGATTATACACAACATTT